CATTTGATCATGAACATTGAAACTGCTTAATGCAAGTACCAGCAGCGAAATAAGACCAGCAATAAAACAAAACAGATTCTTGTTTATTCTCAAAATGCAAAATCTGTTTAAACTGAGTGCATCACGAACTATAAAGCATTTGATTGGAGTGTGACAGAAGTCTCAGGGCGGTGTTGTGTGTGTCTGATCGGAGGTGTTAAGACTGCAGCTGCAGAGTGAGTTGTGGCTCAGTGTGGGTGGCGGCTATCTTGCTGCCGGGGCGGTGTGTTTATGTGTGCTGGGGTTAGGGCCACGTGCACACTGCAGGCCAGTACGCTTAAACAGAGACACAGACACTCACATTCACAGTCAGAAAAACCACAGAGACTCTATTGATTCCAGCTAATCAAGGCAGAGGCGCTGGGGGAATCTGTGCACGTGTGTGTGTGTGCGTATGTGTGTGTGTGTGTATTGGTGTGTGTGTGTGTGTGTGTAGAGTCAACACATTCCCCACATTCCAGAACTTCCCAAAGAGGCATAAAATATTAGCCGCTGCTCTGAGCTCACAGGCCTCCTCGCTCTGCCGGGGTCTGGCTGCTCTGTAAATCCACTGACCTTTTTGTCTGCCAAGTGACTGTGCACTTTGCAGAGGCCGGTTTTCAACAAGAGCCTTTATTTTTTTTTTTCCTTTCTCCATTTTAAATCCACCCACGAGATGACCAAGCAGTGACTTTTGGCTGAATCACACTAACGGTACAAAGAAACCGCATCGCCCGCTCATGTCTGGTTTGGACTGGTCCTCTTTAAACTGGTCGTACAACTCGAAGTGACCTCACCCTAAAAGTTGCATCAGATTGTGTGAGTGTGTGTGTGTGTGATTTTTAAACAACAGAAAGATAAATTAAAGGATCCACACCCAGAGACATTAGATTCAAATTATTTCAGGATTGGAGGAGCAGTAAGGATGATTGCCAGTTCACAAATTTACCACCGATTATTGCACCAGGACTGATCATTAGTCATCACTAATGTTGCATGATGAGCGTTTGCTTCACTTGGGCGCAAAGGCAAACATGTGAAAATGGTCCTTTTGTTTGACAATATTTCTCCTATTCTTTTAATTTATTTAAAAAGGAAGAAACTCCAAGATAAACCCAAACCACTGGGCCCCATATTCAGCTTTTTTTAAATTGATTTATTACCCTGTTTAACATAAACAAGGGTGAATCCAAAGGGGGGATCAGAGGTGGCGTGAACCCCCTTACAAAATGATTGGCCACCCCAAATCATGTTTGGCTCTTTACTTTTTCTATCTGTGTTATTTGACTTTTGACAACAGTATAGATGATGTGTGGAGATTTCACAATCTTAAATTTGCACGATTCATAAGCCAAGTCTTTCTGTTTGTTATGAGGCCATAGAGTCCTAACCAATTATTGTTAAGGCTAAAGCAAGATGCACATTCCTCTAGCACCCAAGCAGTATTAGTTTTAATGCATGTGATGTTTACATTTCACTCTAAAAGTATATTTGAGGTTTTTGGCTCTGAATGCACAGGGGTGTGTGTTGTTTTTTTTCCCTTTGGTGAATTTGTTATTGCTGCAGCTTCTCTCACTTGGGCTGTGTCTGAAATGAATCACTCAATCCCTAAAGCCCATATGGGATTTCACTATATAGGTGACTAAGTAGTGAGCTCAATCACCGGAGGTTTCGGACACTACATGGCATGACGGGATGCCCACCACCGGTGAGTGACCATCCGGTGGTCACTACATTTTGCAATGCATTATGGGAAATTCTGAGTCGCCTATGTGGGGCATTGGAATTGATCACTCAGGTTTTGGACACCCCTCAAAATGACGCCAACCCCCATATAGTCGCCTATATAGGGATCAGGGATCCATTTCGGACACAGCCTAGGATTGTCTGCTGGTGAGAGTGGACACACCTGAATTCTGTGAGGCTGTTAATAAAGCTGCAGGTGGCAGAACATATGAGCGGAGTGAAATCAGCAGTCTGGGTGATGTGCGGCACATGAGATGTAAGGCTGTGAGGAGAGAATGTTTGATTTTTTTCTTCCTCTGTAGGGGATATTTATGCCAAGTATTTAATTCATTTGACATTTTTTGTCTTATTTTGACGTGGCCTATAAATGCTCTCCACATTTTTGAGAATTCACATCTTGTTGGAGACTGTTCAAAAGCAAAAACTTACATGGATCCATCAGCCACACAGAGGGCTGAGATCATCTTTAGGAGTGGTTCAAGAGTATTATAATGGTGAGTAAATGTGCCTCTCTTTATTGCATTTCATTGCTTCTGCAGGTCATAAGTGAAATGATCTTGAATTATTCTTCTTTTAGCTTGCAAATTTATCAAAAAGTTGCATGTGACATCGAGACTTTATGCATCTGTCACCAGCAGCTGAGAGGAAGAAGAGATGGAGGTGTGACCAAGAGGACAAATGACCCTCTTCTTCCTTCTTGTCCTGCAAGGCTCCTGGTCTTAAAGCCAGAGCAAGAAGGTTCACAGTAAGGCTTTGTCACCATAGAAACTCTGTTTGCATTTCCCAGTGAGCAATTCCGCATGCTTTCAGCTGGAATTCAGACATTCAATTCAATTCACGAGGCTGTCTGGAAAAGCAATTGTCTTTTGTGGGGCAACTTATTGAAAGACCTTCTAGGTACGTTTCCGTTTAAGTAAAAAGGCAGACAAAAGGAGCTTTGGCAATGAGCTGGATGTCATCCGAGTGAGCTGCGTTGGCAGGTTCATCATCTGGTGGGGACGGACAGCTCAGAGCTCAGTACCCTGATTGGTTCCTCGTGTTTTATCTGAGGTGATGAGAATGAAAAAGCCCGAGCAGAACTGTACACGCCAATCAAAATTTGGAGTGTGGTCGGAGAGTGCTTCTCTCTGCTGCGTGCCCAGTCACAGGGCTGTATTCAGGTCTGTCTTCAGTCGTCTCTCTCATACCAGGCTGCTGCGCTGGAACAAAGAGGCCTTTCACATTGACCTTGACACACGGCCACCCCCATCACCACAGGAACCAACGCAGAGGAATCCACTCCAGCTCTCTGATATCAATCTCTCTGTATGCCTGGCAGACGGGCCCGGCTCGAGGCTGAGGTGAACCTTGGAGCAGCTAATGCACATCATATGAGCGGGTTTTGATTTCAACAGAGAGCGTAGAAAAAAATAACCTGTTGGCTCCGCTGTGAATCTTGTATCTGATCTGAAATCCATTCAGCTATCCCAAATATGTATTATATAAAGTTTGAATGACCAGCGTTTGTGCTTTTTAATTAAAGCAGCCACAAACCAGCTAATCTCAACAAAAATATATTGATCCTAATGAAAAAATCCCTGCTCATCAAGGCAGGAATGAGTAAGGTTTGGCTTGAATCACGCTAACATATTAACAAAGTTGTTGGTGATTAATTTGATTTAACATTTCATCACTTCTCTCTGTTGGCTAGCTTAAAGCGTTAGCGGGAAACCTGCTCGTCACATCTACATTAGTGTGTTCGTCATTTCATTAAGAATTGATGGGGTAGGACAGCGCTCTGTGGCGAAAACAGTGGCCAGTCTTCTCGGAAGTCTTTCCACAAGACTCTGTGGAAAGTGCGCCTGTGGGAGTTTGTAACCATTCAGCCAAAAATGACAAGCAATGATGTTTGACAAGAAGTCCTGGCTCAGAGAGGTACCAGTTCCTTACTAAAGTGATCAATGGGGCGAAGGCCAGGACTCTTCGCAGGGCCAATCCACTTCATCCAGACCAAATGTGTCTAACTTCTGCTTTTAGACTCGGCTTTGCAGAGAGGTATAAAAAAAGGGCTTTTCCCAAAACTGTAACCACAAAGTTGGAAGCAGGGGATAACTTCAGATGTCTTCAGATGCTGTGGCATTAAGAAGACCCTTCACTGGAACAAATGGACCCAGCCCAGACTGTGAGAAAAAAACCCAAGACCTCTACCCCTCCCCCAATAGAGATCTAATGTGTTCCCCGTATGAGAATCAGCAGTGCAGAATGAAATGTAGTGACTTGTGGCAAAGCAGGGGCGTGCCCAGGCTTTTTTGACCTGGGTGATGACTTTTGTAAAAGGGGGTTATTTTGTATGTGTGGTCCACCAATGGATCATTATAACAGCCTGACAATGAAGGAGATGGAGGCCGACTGTTGTATGGTCTAGCAGGTTTCGCCATGGTCTTGTATTTGTATTTATTTTCTTTATCTTTAAGTGCAGAGCGTTATATAATTGAAATGCAAGTATACATCTGTTCAATCAGAAAACAAATTAAATATACCTATTCTCAGATTGAGCTGTTATAATCTGATCAAAGTGTCCTTTTTATTCTCATTAATCACTTAATCGGATTAGAAGTGGTCATGTCAACCCACCTAGCATGTGGTACTTACCCTTCCTGTCTAAACCTACATCTTCTTTTAAGTAAATGTAAAAATAGTTTAACTTGCATTTCGGTAAAATGAACATTTAATTATCTAGTTATTGTAATTAATTAACTGAAAAGCAACATGTCCCAACTGATCATTCTACATCTGACAAGGCTACTGGCCAGTTCAAATTTGGGTTGACTCTGTGGCTAGCCTATCAGATTCCCCTTCTGGACATGCCTCTGTGGCAAAAATGGTGTCCTATAACTGGGCTTCATTTAAGGTCATTTAGCCATTAGAAAAGAAAGAAACGTCTAAGTTTGCATTTGGCTCGGTAACGTTTACTTCCTTGGGTTGACCATGGAAAAAAATGTCAGTCTCGAAAGATTTTTTGGAGTTCGGTAGATGCACTTTCTTTTTCCATCATCAGTTTCTTGGCAGTTTAATGCAAGGTAAAAATAAGATCTGCAATTTATTGGACAAACAGATAACTTGAAATGTAAATTCTTTAATGCACATTTAAGGTTATTTGTTTGTCGTTTATGAGCATGTCCATTTACTTTTTGCCATCAAGTGTCTAGTAATCCTGTGAAATTGACGGACACCCAAAATCAGTGGTCTGTCTATGTTTGGCTTTTGGATTTAACATTTATTTTTTTTAAACAACAGACATGGACACTTTGTCACAGAATAAACGCTTTTATTCTCAAGGGCAAAAAAAAAAAAATCATTTTTTTGGTTTGATTTTTAAAAAAAAACAACTGTAAAGCCTAAAAAACACTCACGACTCCAGGCATTCAATTGTGGTTCTTTTTTTTTTTTTAAACAAAATAAAAATAAAAGGCTTTCACATTATACATTTCCGTCATAAGAAATATCTTCAGAACTGTACATCGAGCTGTTTTTTGTTTTTACAAAGCGCAAAGAGTTTCAAAATATACAACGTTCATTCAAATTTTATACACATTAAAAATCAGAGAGGGTTTTCTTTTTTTGTTGCTACATTTAAAACCTTGGAGTTCCACGTCTGCAGGACCGGCAGTCCGAGCACATTCCTCGTTGCATCATCTTTGACTTTAAAAAAAAGCAGAGTCGATCCAGCGTGCTGCTTGGCAACATCCAGGCGCTCCATTTTTTTTTTTTGTCTCCACAGCAAGAGAGAGACTGTGTCTGCCACCAGGCCAGTCTCTCAGTCTCCTCCTCTTTAGCATCAGAACTTAGTTGAACCCTTCTAGAGGACTCATCCAGTTTCCACAGTAACACATTCAGTCAGTGTCCACCTGGCAGGGATTCGTCCCCCGCTGCTGCGCCTCGTGATACAGCCGCACAAAGTCTTTGTAGCGAGGAGCGCAGCCCATCCAGGCCTCCCCGAACCTAACCGTCCCCGTAAAGAGGAATTCCCCGTCCCCGGACTTCACCCCACACTGGGGTGGCATCTTGATGCGTCCAGTCCACCTCCGTACCCTCACACCCCCAGATACAAAGACCCGGGTCTTCTGTCTGTAGAGGCGGCTGATATCCACAGTGACTGACGAGTGCTCCTCCTCCTGCTCCACCTTCATGATGCTGCCCCGTGCGACTGAAAACACCAAGCAGAGACAGGAGTCAGATAAGTCTTCAGGCTGCACAGATTTGTACTTTCAACCATGTTTCTACACATCAAACTTACCAAAGTCATTGGTGCAGACCGCTAGAAGCATTTCAGCGTCACTGCAGGGCTGACAGGGTGCTGTGTGGAGAGAAAAAAAGAGAGTGGGTAAGTTTGGAGCCAGAATTTGGTGAAGTACTGCAATTAATCCAAAATTTCTCTTGCACCAAAATGCCTAAATATCGTGTCGACGACTCCACAACTTTTGGTTAAGTGCCTCCAACACAAATAGAATACTGTGGTAGAACCAGCCACACACAGACGCACACAATCCCATTTGGGGTCACAGTAATTTCCCTCCCCACAGATGATTATTTATTTACAAAGCCGGCTGCACGATTCAGCTGTCATGAACTCGGGCTTTTAACACCAAACAGAGCTGCCGGGCGTGCGCTGTTGCTGCTGGCGAATCCAGTCACCTCTTATTTTTAAAATTCTGTTGAGTGCGAAATGTCACGGAGGGTTGTTTGGTCGGATTCCCTGCCACGAGAGGAACCCCATGACACCCCATGACAAACGAGGACCAGATGAAAAGGATAAAAAGGAGCACAAACAAGAGGAGAGGCCAAATCTCTGACCTGAGCTCTGGTTGCACTTTCAACAGGCCTGAAGGGACCGAAACTATGACATCTAGAAGGGAACAAAACAACAACACAACAACCCTCTAAGTAATCTCTCTTTGTTTGAAGTATAAGATCACAACCTGAGGGCAAATAATTGAGTGTAAAAAAAAGTGAAATAGCTGGTAGTTTAATTGCCCACTCCAGGCTATCGTTCACTTCTGACTGCAGCTCGGCCTGCTGCCTCCACACTGTTTTACAGCAGGAGAAAGGGCCCTAAATGAGAGCAGTCAAGTCGATGATTAGTTGACTCAGGTGGTCCTGCGGCTGGCCAGACCAGAACGCCTTTATTAGCCTTAGATCTGCTGTGGTTTTCTTAAGAGGCAGAGTGGCACACAGGGGGCAGGTGGAGAAGGCGGAGGGAGGGGTGTCGAGTCAGCAGCGGGTGGTAAGTGGAGCAGCAACCAATAAAATTAGAAGAAAATGTTAAGTCAGGGGGAACTGGTGAGCTGAAAGCAACACAAGATTAAAAAGTATGTTGTTTCAGTGCAAGATCATCAACAGAGGAGGAGTTTTTTTTGTTTTTAGCTGGTTTGCCTAAAGCCGGGTGTCAAAGGGTGAGGAGTGAGCATGTCTCAGGTCAGCTTGTGTAGCAACACGAGGCGCTACCGCATCACCGTGGAGATCAGAGGTCAAAGAGCCACGAGCTCGGACGGCTTAAGAACAGCTGGAGAGTAGAGAGACTTCAGAGCGGCCGACCTCGCCCACGGCCCGAAGCGGAGCGCAAAAGTCCCTTTGAAGTGAGCCTCTGTGCTGCCATAGCATCAGACAGAGCGGGGCTGGATTTTCTTTGCTCCGGCGCGGAGCAGGGCTCACATGTCAGACATGAAAAAGAACCACAGGAATGGGCTAAGAGCCGAGTCAGCATCTCTCTATGGCTTGCGCACATGCAGCGCCCCGCTCTGATCAGAACCACTTCACAGGGGCGGGGGGAAGGATGAGGGATGGGATGCGGGGTAAACTAGGAGGGGCACGGTACAGCGTCCCTGCGACATCTGGGCTCTGATGCATTCCTCTGTAATGGAGCACAACTCGCTAATGCAGCTCTGCACAGACCGAACCCACTTCAAACGGGCCAGGAAGAGAGGGGGGAAGATATATGAAGGGGAGAGGAATGAAAAAGGAAAATACTAGAAAGATAAATAGGCGAGGGAGAAATTAAGAGGTAGGAAACACTGAGACAGAGAGGAAGAAAGAGGTGTATAATTTAAGTGAGCTGAAAGGCACGGCGAGGGAGTGGGGGGAAAAATAAGCCTATATGCTGCGAGAAGGTCCTCCCAACATCTGGTTGGAGACGCATTCCAGTTTGACGGTGAGCAACTCAATCCCAGCACAGCGGGTCAGAGAGGAGGAAGAGCGAGGGGAGAAAAAGGATGAAAGGAGGAAGAGAGAAGATTAGAAGAAGCAAAGTAGCAATCAATCCAAGAGCGCGGAGCTTCAGACGACACGAGAGCAGTGTCTTTGTGAATCATCCCAGTGCTATCTCAGGCCACATCACAGACGCAGATTATACTAGGGAGCAGAGCCGAGCACGCTAATGTGGTCAAAACAAGTCCACGCTCACTCTTCTTTTAACTCTCTCTCTCTCTTTCTCTCTGTTGTGCCAGATAATGACGCAGGATGTGGAAATGTGAACCGAGAGAGCCGTAAAAACAGATGTGGACCTGATACCGCTCATATTTTGCTTTAGGTGGGAAAAAAAACACAGTTGCTTGTACAGTTACGCAGCTTGAAACTGTGCAGGTTTGGCAGGTACGCAGCGTGAAAACAGACGGCTTGTTTTTCAACCGAGGCCCTCTCGTGTTTGGCCGTGCCCCTTCACACACAAGCCGTCCAACGAAAAGAAATAAATAAACAATTACAGCTTAGTGAAAAGTAAGATCAAATGTGGAAAGTTGAGCTTAAATACGAACATTTTATCCTTAAAAAACATTCCACAGGGACCATAAAGACTTAAAGGATTTAGATTTCCTTAATTTTTGTCTATTTTAACAAGAAGAGTTTGACAGGAAATTTCCCCCCCAAAACCAAAATGTACAGACAATGCAACCAGAGAAATGCACTTTGGCTTAATTTCTGCAGTTTTCTGGAGCAAATGTTGAGTTTCCTTCCATTGCAGTCCAACTTAATTAAAGTTTCCACCAGTAGATGGCTGCATTTAGTGCAGAGCGCACACCACAGGGACACAGCACAAAGACAGCCAGTCCTTGAGGGAGGAAACCAAAAGCAAGTCTGCAGACCTGAGCGGAAGGTCAGGCAGGTTAGGAAAAGATAGGAAGGAATTGTTAGATACAGTTCGTCAATAATACGTCTGTGTCTTACCGCTCATTGATTGAGCCTCCAATCCCACTCTTTCGCTGACCAGCTCGTACTGGAAGGCCGTGATCCTCCTGCTGATGTCCATGTGTGGAACGGCCTCAATAAAGAGCGCCCCCTCTTGGATACTGAAGCACAGCACCTTCCCCTGCACTTGGTCCTGTTCACGCAGCAGTAGTCGCAGCTTGCCATTGCGGTCCAGGTAAATATTGGTTCCTCTCGAGTCTGAGGAGGGTTTGATGCACACAGAAAGGCGGGCAGCTGCCGGCGAGACCGTGTTGGGTCGGAGGTTGACGATGATGGCCCCCGTGGGGTAGAGCCACTCCAGTGAGCCCTGGGAGCAGCGAAGGTAGACCTGCTCCACGTCCCTTGCGTGGCCTTCGTGGGTCAGACCGCTGAGTGGAAAGAAAGGAAGATGTCAAGAGTTGTTGTGTGCAGAAACACAAGAATGTGAAACTCGCCTTGTTAACTCATGCTGAACCTTTTTGGGATTATTCAGTCTACTTTTCACAGTTTTGTGTTCATTTATAGTCCCAGTTAACTGACCAAAGGGGAAGACCTCTGGCAAACTCTGAGGATATTAGACCACATTCCTCCTCAGGCATTAAGAGCCGTCTGTGCGCAAGACTGGCTGCATGACCAGTCACGAGCCGGAGCAGCCAAAATGACCTCAGCTCCAACACACACTCCCGTCTCCCCTCCATCCACCCACCCATTCCACATTGTTCCTCCCTGCGCTTTGGCAAAATGCACCACTGGCAGTCTGCCTTTGGGAAGACTTTGGAAGCAGGAATGGATGAATGGAGGGACACAGGGGCTTCTGGGCAGACAACGGCAGCAACAGTAGCCGGGCCTGCTGCATGCAAGTGCAAATGCAGGTCACGCACCGAACCTCCCCTCGCTTTCAAGCCACCAAAGAGACTGGAAGAGACTTGTCCGGGCAGCACTTCGGACTGTGGCGCCAGCGTGACCAAATGACTCCCTCCAGAACTTAATGCCTGGTCAGGGTTTGAAAAAAACTACAGTCCGTCAGTCATTCTGTGGCAAAGCCAGAGGCAGGAAGCCATCAGCAGTCTACCAGTGCGCACCATGCCAAACTAGTGGTTTGACTCCGGGGAGGAGAAACGCCCAGTTTCCTGAAAATGAGATGCTGAAATTTAAATTCACCAAAAGATCTAAAGTAACCCATGCACATGCTGAGCATATGTAGCCGAAGCCTCATAACCAGGCTCCCCTCAGCACGCCTCTAATTAAGTCCTCCTTAACTCCATCACTTCTGCATGCAATTACAGCAGATTAGTCAACAATCTGACTAATGAGCAACAGATTATTGGTGGAGAGCTCAGAGTACTCAAGTAGAAGGTCTTCCACTGCTGACTTAGTGGAGGATGAAAAACAAAACCCGCACTATTTGAGGCGCAGCTTCTCAAGTGCAAAACACATTCAAGCAGATGTTTGATGGAAGGTGAAATTTTCAAGAGGATTTAGGATCAATTTTTTAACAGATTCAGCATAAACACTTAAAAAATCCTGAAAAAAATATACATTAAGTGTAGATTATATTCATATTTAATAGTTGAGGATGTTAACCCTTAGAATAAAACATCATCTGATTGGTGGATGGGTTGCAAAAAGTGATAATTTTATACTCAAAAGTGCAGTTTTAAGACCAAACTCAGAGTTTATAATGGTATTGTACTTCCTTTTCATTTTGCATAGCAAACAGTAAAATAAAAATACATGATAAGTATGATATTTTGTTTTAGTATAAAGCCCGCTTTCATTTCTCGTCTCCACCGCCTGTAGTTTCGGTCAGCTCACCTACTTTCCTTTTAACAGGTATTTTAAACAAACTTTTTTAACCTAAAATTTAGTAAACATGATGGTAAACCTCACCTCCCCTTCCAGCTGCACTGGTCGCTTGAATACTGGCAGAAAGATATCCGAAATAAGAGTAGCAGAGGCAGCAGAGAGGCCAGCACCGGGGTGAGCATGTTTATCCACAGCTCACTTTCTTCGCCTCCTCTCGAGTGAAACTACGATCAAGTCCCGCCGCCGTATTTCCAGCTACATAGCGTTTCCATGAAGTCCTCCCGGTCCGCTCCGAGCTGCTCCCCGGGGTTTCCTCTTTGATTCACGGGGAGGTTCAGAGGAATAACAACCCGTATTCAGACCCTCTCTAGTGGTGTCCGGTGTTGACGGACCGCCGTGAAATGTGGACTGAGCTCTCGTCCCCGCAGCCCTGATTGCCCCGTACGTCACACCCCATCCACTCAAGTTTTGGCGTATGCTGCGTTCATGTATACAACTACGGCTCGGAATTTCAACTTTCACTGTGGAAAGTGCTGCTACAGTTGCATTGCAGTGAGTTTGTCGTGCAGAAACTGGTCATAACTGTTGACTTAATTCATAAATAAACGTTTGTATCCACCAACAAGATTTCTCACCTTATTATCTGTGTTATTGTTTCTATTTTGAACAACACAGCACTACTTTTTCTTGATGGTGTTTCACAGTTTAAAATGTTATCTTTTTTTTGTTTCAAAATGGGCAGACTAACCTAAGGTTGTCTTACGTGTTATTTAGTAGGGGTGGGAGAAAAAATCGGTTCACATAAGTATCACAATTTTTTTGTTCAACAAATTTTAAATCGATTTTTTTTAGTTCAAAAATCTTTTTTTTTTCTTCAAATTTAAGATTAAACGTCCTTTCACACTGGGACCATTTTTTTCGAGCGATTATTTCCGACATCAATATTTTTCTCCAGGCATTTATTTTTTTCGGATCACGGTCGATTTTTCTAAAGTTTCACAAATTGTGTGTCCACTTCTGACCAATCAGATTGCATGTTGTTGTGACGTCTGATTCACCGGTATATCCAACATGGCCGACCGGCTGATTGTTTATGTGTTGGAGAACAGAGTGCTTTTTGATAAAAGACACAAATATTACAAAGATAACGACCTGAAGGACAACTTGTGGAGAGTCATAGCGTTGGATTTCTCATATGACAATGGTTTGTGTGCTTTAACAGTTTGCGAAACGTCTTTGTTTTAACTTTCATCTGTGCTAAGTAACTTTAGCTCGTAAGCTAACCTGTTCAGATGCAACATACCATATGTATTTTCAGTGTCTCAAACTCAATCGCGTTGCTGTCACAGCACCATTAGGTCTCGGTTGTTACCTTAAAATCATAGAAGAATCGAATCGGGAGAAAAGCATATCGTCTCAGCCCTATCATTTAGCCCAGCTATGAACAGCTTTTAGTGAAGATTTAAATATGACTGGCGAGAATGATAATCATGCTGATTATTATTTATTTGTAGTATACTGAAGATCCTTCTATACCAGTTAAGTCTAATTTATTTTAATGGTTTTCTTGAGATCCATAAAATGTTTGTTTTCCCTTGTTTTTAATAAATAGTTATTTTGTGACTCAAAAACAAAGAGAAACAAAACATTTGTGGGAATAAATGAAGAGCACATTTTCTGAAACTGCTCTCTAATGATGGATTTGAATGAAAAACTTTACTCACTCAATCACGACACAATGAAGTTGATGTAATGTGTTGAGATGAGAGCAATACCAGAAGAGGGAAAAGTTCCGACAGCACCTGAAGTAAACATAAAAGTCAAGCAAATAGAGCAGCTCAACAATAGCTTAGTATACTCACCAATGAAAACTATAAGTGGTTATGCCAGTAACTAGCATTGCTCACATATTTATATTTAACTTAGAAAAAAGGGAAGAAAGAAAAGCAGCTTCTTTTAAGTGTTATATCTGATTTCTCTAAGGATGAGAAACCAAGCCAAATGGACAGTTAAAGGCGATAAAATACAGGGCAGATTTGTTCAAAAAAGCATAAATACATCTCTCTCTTTTGCCTCTTTGTTAATGCACTTCATGGGTTAAATTTAACTTTAATCTTCCTCACAGCCGGCTTCCTGTTTAGCTTATCAGGATCTGATTAAAAGTGTCATGATCTGAGTTCAGAGGAAAGTCATTTTAAGCTGAACTGAAACCCAGCTGTGTTATTACTCACATTTACTGCGTTGTGCAACAGTTTTCAACAAGTGAATTGAGCTTTAAGGGCTTGTTAGTGGGGAGTATCTGTCTTATGAGTTAGCGCATGAGATTTAAACTAGCATTAAGTTTATATAGCCTGGCTGTGGACGCAATTATTTATAAAATAGTACCCCAGAAACACGGACATGACAAACTATTTGCACACATGAAAAGGTCATTCGGCTCCATTTTTGAGCAGATTGGCTGTAATTTATGTTCAAATGGTTCCTTGGCTGGAGAAAAGAGCGAGCTAAAATAGAAAGTCATGGTTTGGTGCTTTTGTAGTAACCTCACAATTATCTATAAATATTTGGCCATTGCTAGGAACAAATTCACAAATGTCATAAGAAGGCATAGCTGTACAGTATTCCATGAGAATTTATGGTGTTTTTTTGGCCAAAAATATGCAAAATAATTTCACAGTGGCTTCAAGATTTGAGTTTATTCTGTAATAGTTCATTTGTAAGATGAGGGGGGGAATCTGGAAAACCACATGCCAAGAAACCACATCATGACAGCCTTAGAGTTAAAGAGCGGCTTCAGAGCATCCAACACAGTCATTATTAATTTTGTCTAATTACTTTTACAACCAAGCTGTCCTTTTATGACCCAAAGTTGCCAACCAAAGTCTAAGGATAACCCCTCCTGCAAGCTCCTTCAAGTCCCAGCGACGGGAGCTGCAGAGACTTGCAGAGCGGCGGGGTCCGTTACCTGTGGGTGCATCTGTAAACACAAACTACTCATCACTCAAGTGGCGAGGATCCTGACTTATGTTTTTTAATGGAACAAGACGTTTGGCTTGGAAAAACCCGTCTGACGAGGAAAACCAGAGCAGTTTGTAACTGCTACTTTTCCTCTCTGGTTTCTGAGGACTTGGATTCAGTTGTTCAGTGATGGACGTGTATTTATTACTGACCTGACATGCAGAGTGTGTATCCAAGCCAAAGGGTCTCATAAACCCAAGATTAATGCGCAGATTTTTTTATTTGACAGAAAATTACCCCCCTCTAGTAATCGTTCTCCAAACTTGGAAATTGAGCAACTATTTACTGTTTGTATAATCTTTAAGGATTAGACGCTGGTCTGCTGATTGAGTGCACTGGTTTCTGTTCAGGCCTCTTCATACTGCAGAGTGTCTGGGAGTTGTTATTCTCTCTGATGAGGTAACAGGATTTTAAGGCGTGTCTCAGCATGACTGTCTAAAGAACAATCACGACGACACCTGCACTGATACACCAAAGCTATACACCTGTGCAAGTTTCTCAATGATGTCTGGAGATTACACAACCAGTTTATCTCTGATATCAAAGATTAAGATGGAGCATTGATGATTTTTTGATGCAAAACACCACAAATCTGAGTATCTGCAGAGGACAGATCTGCAGATATTCATGACAATATATGTCATTTGTGGAAAGCAAAACTACTGCGGAGTCAGGATGGAAAAAAAAGTGGATAAACTGCAAACATATTTGTTCTGAGACAGCGCTAATTTGTGGCTGCAGGGGAACTGTAAAAACTTTGGTGCCTCAAACGGTAAAGCATGAGTTGGCGATTTTTTAAAGGTATAATTATGACAAACAAAAAACCCCAACATAGAGTTGCATTCATCGTGATCATGAGGAATATCCGCTCACATGCCTTTGGAGTATAATAGAAGAAGGGTGACCATATTCTAACTTCCCAAAAAGAGGACAGGACTTTGTGGGGTCAGAGTCACCAAGTTGCAAAATTTGAAGAGTTTTTTCGGATAGGGTGTCTTTTATGTGCTTCTAACTCAGTAAGTCCTCATGACACAAACTCGAAACTTATGTACAAAACTGCGGACATTTGAAGGATTTTAAAATCTTCCCCGGACAAAGCCGAACAAAGCTGGACAGCCCCCCAAAAAGTGGATGTGTCTGGGTAAAAGAGGACGTAAGGCCACCCTAAATAGACAGACAATCGATCAGAAGAGCTGGCAGAGCTCGAATAGCTGAAAAACTTCAATCTGGTCCCGCTAATAAGGTGTAAGAACACACTCTCCATCAGACAAAAATTTTAGTTTTCATGTACATTTTTGAGAGAGCTTTTAATATCTTTAAGAAAACAAACAACAAAACACCATCAGGTTTAGTAATCAACAGTTTTCGAAACAAGCTGGTTGAAGCCAACGATTGCGAAAGTTTCCAAGTATTACTCATTTGCAGAAGTCTGTCAAAGTGTCTGTCAGACACAACAAACCCTCTAAAAATGTCACCTTGGGCCTTTGGAGGATTGTGTTAGACCTTCTCGTTATCTTTGACTCTCTATAGACAAAATAATATAAAGACAGATATAATTTTCCTGATAAGTCTATCATCAGAGGGTTTTGCAGTTGCGGCCTCAGACAAATGAATTGTTTTGTGTAACGCACTCAGTGAGAGAAACACCCTCCTACATAAAACACACGCTTTAATTTCCCACAGAAATTAATCTCGTCCAAGTAAGGCGCGTTTTCCCGCTTCTTGTTATTCCAGTTGCCCCATCACTTGCTGCCAGTTTGTTATTTTCCCTCTCGCTGCAGCTGAAAGGAGGCAGGTTTGGCTCTCACTCTCCACCTGTCAGAAGATTCACTGCTGCTGGGAGCGGGGATCGAGGCACAGGAGGGGGGAGAGAAAGAGAGAGAGAAAAAAACAAATCGATGACAGATAACAGCAGAGTGAAAAACAGACAGTTAATCATACAGTGTGCTCCTTTTTTTCTTGTATCGACTGTGAGAGGAAACCTGACGTCGAACAGAGAGGCAGTGAGGTGTAGTTCATATTAAAGGATTAGGTCTGTTTGGTAAATATGTGTTATGTGGCTCAGGATTGTGAGGTGGTACGGGGGGAGTAGAGAGAGGGGCCTGCTGGAGTTTTTTGGGGGGAGGGGTTGTTTTTGTTGTCCCAAACTCTTGCTGAGTGTGACTCACTTTTACGCCCCCGAGCTCGCCTCCAGGTGAAAAAGCAGCCGTAAAGTAGAATAGGCTGCTGACAGGATGTGATTTTTATGTGTGTGTGATCTGCTCCCTCTTCTTTAACTCTACGGTTTGTCCCTTTAATGTCTCTTTATGGGAAAAGCTGAAACCAGGCTTGTCAACCATTAAACCCCCTCGCTAGGAGAGCTGTTTTCGGTTAAACAGCAGACACTGAACAAGCCCATTGTGTCGCTCTCTGGCATTTTCTCCTCTCGGTTTAAAAGATACACTAGATTGATCCGTTTGGATTAGATCTGTGATGTCTGGAGTTAAATTTCAACAATCTCCCCCTTCAATGTTAAACCTCTGAGAACCCAGGTTGGTAAATACCACAAGTGACGCTCTTTTTCAGAGCCGGTCTCGACCTGTTTGATTAAGTCTGCTATCTCAGGGAGATAAACTGTAAACTGCAGCCACACAAGCATGTCCGATATCTTGTGGTATGCAGAGGCAGATTGGAAGGCGCTGATATCATCGAGAGGCCGTCTGCCTGTCATCATCCCTCTCTGGCTCCTTTCCAGTCCGTCAGAAATGCAGCTGAGCTCATTCCTCTTGGTAAACAGGAACCCTGTCATTTTGAAGTGCCAGCCATATCTGAAGACAGACATGGGGTTTGTATCTCTGCTGACACCTTGCACGACTTTGTCAGGTTGGATCTCTCTCTCGCTTGAGCAACGCGGTAATAAACTTGGCGTACATTCCAGCTCTGCAGCCTCAATCATCAGCCCGGTCTGCGGCCGTGTTGCTCCTAGTCGTGTCCGCACATCTAGTCAGACTGAAACTATGTGGGAGAAAGTGACATATTTGAAGAATGCAGCAACTGGTGCATCTCACTCAGAATTCCCAGAAGTTTTCGCAAGCCAGAGAAGACAAAGCCTGTCTTTTGTTTCAGGGCCGATGATGTATAGGTCGTCTGAAAACACGTCGCAAGAGAGGAGAAAGGCGGATGACACGGTTGTGTTCCAGGCCCATGTGAGGGGTAGCAAGAGACGAGGCCTCAGCACGGCGACATGCTCAAGTCCACGCTGAATTAGCCCATCATGCCTCCGAGCTGTTTTCAACACCACACTATCAGCTGCTTCAGATCCCCTCACTCAGCAGCGTACAGAAACCTGAGGAACCGCAGCGCCCAGGAGGGGAATGTGCGTCAGGCCTCGTTATGACATGAAGCTCGTCTTAGCAGGTGGGCAGCTCTTATGAAACGACACAATAAAAACGAACTCAGCGCTGGTCTGCCTTCCAATTTCACAGAGATCAGATATGAGCACGGTCTGCGGGTCCAGATGGTTCTCAGGCTTGAGGATTAGCCAAGTTGTCCCTCCATGATCTTGCGAGCTTACGTTTGTTCGTTGTGGTCGGTGATCTTTAATTTTTATGAAGCACTTCCTTGGAAAAAGTCGCAGTGTAATTTCAGAGGTCTAAAAGTGCTTTCCCTCAGCTACAGATCTTCTGTGTGCAACCAGAAAAACCATGGTCCACTTCTTTTATTATTCATTGTTTTCCACTTGCTTACAATTCTTTGTTTGACTTTCATTTCCTGAGTTTTAATTTGTTTCCTTTATTGCTTCCAAAATCTTTTTCTTTTTCTTTCTGCTGTGTATAATTTTTTGTTTTTGCAAAGTTTTTGTCTTCTGGTTTGACCTCACATGAACTAAACGTCAATTATTTACCAGTTGTTATTGCCTATTGTTTGGATTATTTTTTATTATCCAAAGAGTGTCATGATTTACTTGTACTTTAAAGCACTTTGTGAACTCCAGTTTTTTATATCTTGTTGGCCGGTTGTAAATTAGGTTCAATCGTCATTTCCAATTTGGCGACCACCATCAATGGGCTTCAAAAGTCAGTTTTGGAAACCAAGAGGTGACGTCAGTGAGATTACATCCATGTTTTATACTGTCTCAGTGATCGATCTGCTTTATTTGGGTCAGAGTAGGGCTGGGCGATATGGCCTCGAATCAATATCACTTCAATAACGATAAATGGACAATAACTTCTCCACAAGCTGCTAACCCCCTCCCACATTAACTTCATCTACTTCAGCCACTACAACTTTTGAACCGTCCTCCATCTCCTTACCTGTCTTTCCCTCTTTGTTATAGACTGGATGGGGTGGAGTCACGTTTTTGACGTTGGAAAGCGTCTTAAAGGGACATGAGGCCATAGCCTAAACCAACTTTTATTTATTTATTTTTTTGACACCAAATATACTGATATGGGCAAAATGACGTTGGTTATTGTCATGAATTTCAGTATCGGTAAATTTTCAGTCTATCGCCCTGCCCTAGGTCAGGGCCAAAACAGTCTTAACTGACAAGTCTCCTCTACAGGTGTGCTGAAGTATCTGAGACCAAAATAACTGCAGCTGAATTTTCAAAAGGTTTCGGAGGTCAGTAGCAGTCTGTCCAACTCCTTACACAACAAACTTTCCTCCACTGTTGGTTCTGACACCTTTCTATCAGAACCAGCAAAACCAGGACTTTACTCCAGAGGAGGAATTTTTTAGCTCTGATCTTTTGTATGGACCTTCAACAGTGAGACTAACCTCTTTAACCAGTTTTCCATAACTTTCAGAGGGTACTGACCCCACAACTAGGGTGACCATATTGTGACTTTCCAAAAAGAAGACATGACTATGCGGAGGCGAAGTCAAGGAGTCGCACAAAGTTAATTTTGAGAGTTTTTCGGGTTGGATAAGGTGTGTTTTTTGCGCTTCTAACTCAGTCAGTCCACGTGACACAAACTCGAAACTTACGTACAAAACCGCAGACATTTGAAGGATTCTATAAACTTCTCTGGACAAAGCCCAACAAAGCTGGACAGCCCCCCAAAAAGAGGACATGTCCGGGTAAAAGAGGACGTATGGTCACCCTACCCACAACAGCCGTAGTCATGGAGATGTCATGACCCATTTGTCAAACCATTATAATTTATCATTTGTCAAAATCGCTCACAGACTCTTTTGTGCCCATTTTTTTCCAACATCAAACACTTTAATTAAAATGACAACTTGTTAACTGACTGCTCAACACATCCAAACCTCTGACAGGTGCCATTGTAGAGTGATAACACTGGTATTCACGTTAGAGACATTTTAACCAGCTCCCTGCTTGAACATCCCATTAGGCAGCTTCGAGTAAGTTTATGGTGTTAAACATTCCAGAAATACTCAAAATACACCACATACTACTCTCTGACGCTGGAGAGGCGAGACCAACCTAAGGGGATAGATTTTTTAAATATCATACATATGAGTCTGGTGAAGTGGATGAACACGTGTGTGGGGAAAACAGGGTGAAGAGAGTCAGTGATGGGACTAAGACTGAAGTCTCTTCTCACATTTTTCTCATCCCTCTTTCTCAAGCTGTCCTCTCTAATAAAGGTTAAATCCGCCCAAATAAGTCTTGAAGAGGAAGAAAGGGATGAGTATTGAAGATGAAGTCTGACTCACTAAGCAGAGCAGTTTTGCGTCTTTGCAGGGACCTTCCTCCAGGACAACTTCCGCTCTCCAGATTAGCCTCGCAGATTGAACACTTAAGGCTTCCTGCAGTAGAAAGAGCTCTGGCTCACATCCCTCCCTTTTTCTCCGTGCCACTGTGACACCAGAGTTTCCTTGATGCAAACCCTCATTCTTCGAGTCGCTCCATCAGTCCAGGATGCGGTGCACAAAAAGCCTCAGCCTTTAAGGCCCACTGATGCTGGGTGACAGCCATGATAGACTCAGACACAGTGAGGGCGGCGGGGAAGAAGCGGGAGCGCCTTCTTTTGTTAATTCCTTAGTTCCCTGTCTCACACTGAAGATCAGCGCCTCTATCTCAAACTCTGGCGTCGTTCCTGCGCAAGAATTTGGCTGTAACACTCCTGAACATTGCAGGAGAACGCTCGAACTATCCAAAGAGTATTAATTTCGTACACTCTGTGCTGGCTCTGTTCTTTTTGTAAGTAGGGTTCGGGTTTCTTGGAACGGGTTTTTATGGAGTTTTATCATCGCGGGGGGAGTCAGTCTGTGTTCAATCAGAGTCTCAGTGATCTGCCAACTAGCACACATGAGGTTCACTGAGACTCATTTTCTTTGGTTTGATAATGGAGGTCGTATTCTCGGTGTTGCTTTTGTGATACTATATGAAGAAGCTAAGAGTTTAATAGTGAACTTCGCTTACCAAACAGAAGAATAGCAGACATCTTTGATATATGTAAGCGCTTCAGGTGCAGTTTGGATGATCATAGAGTCATAATTTATCCCGCAGAGGTCAAACTCTACATATCTCAACCTTAAGTAGAAGAAGTTACAGCCTCACTCAAGCAGGAGAAGTTCTTTGTTTTTTATTATTAGGTTATTTTCTTTCTCTTGTTTGGAACTCGTGACTGAAACTGGAGCAGAATTAGAAAAAGATGAGTGTTTTCTGTTGATATATTGTTTCAGACAGAGAAACTCTACAAGCAGGGCTCTGCTCAGTACAAGAGTAAAACGCTCTGAACAGGATTGAAGTTTATGCCATGAATGTGTCTCGACTCCTTAAGGACAAAACTTTGAAAACCTTAACTTTACTCCGTCATTTATGAGCTAACTAACCAGTAACAGCAGTTTTAAAAGTTTTAATGTCAAAAGTTACCGCCCATATTTTGTACAGCTGCAAATCAATATCTTTTTATCAAGTCAGTAGTTTTAAGACTAGTTTTTTGAGAAACTGTTGCTCCTAAAGTTTGATTTTATGGATCATTGTACCAGGTTGTCCACTTCTCTTATCACTAAAATTCTACCAACTTGGTCACAGCAAAGTTTAAATGAAACTTTTATAAAACTTTAAAACCTTGACCAGATAAGCGATCAGTTTTTTCTGAGGTTTTGAGCAGAGCAGCTCACTTTAACAGGCTTGTGTGTTTACACAGGGCAAGAGCAACAGAGAGGACGTGTGGGAGAGGAGAACAGTCCGCCTATTGTGCGTCTCTTTCCACATGCAGAGTTTTCTATTAGCACATGGTCAGCCTGAAGAAATGAACAACAAATTATTTAGAGAACAACAATCTGGGTTAACAGTGAGCGTGTTGGCGACTCTGTGGAAACTCTGACCCAGTGTTTTAGTTTCAGAGCAGAGAGGTCTTTAAAACCCCCCAGAACGTCTTCATGAGAGCTGGATTCTGGAGACCGAGAGTTCTGTTGATGGTGGTGCTCTCCACCCTTCAGCTGCTGATTCACACAGGTGTGGGAGGAAGTGGGTTCATGAGGAAAGTTGGGGTCGAGAAACCATTGAAAAAGGACTCGGGTTCAAGCTCGGGGTCAAAGACAAAGTGAGAACATTCTGGTATCTACTAAACAATGACATCTTTTAACCTGACAGTGGACTAGATTAGGATTATACATCCAACCTGGCTGGGGAATGTCTTCAGATCTAAAGGACACTGGAAAGTGTTGCTGAAGCGAAAAAGGCCTTAGTAGATACGATGCGCAATTCAATCACCTAGCAGAATCTGCAGTCCTAGTTTCTTTAGTTCAGAGCTTTCACATGAGTTCACCTTGTTCAGCAACAGTTCCCGACAGGATGACCAAAGAGATGCTGCAAATCGTGCGTTTTGTGCATTTTATGATGTTCATGATGATATTCCAGCCTAAGTTTAAGCCATGGTCAAACACACCATAACACCCCCCCTCCAGAGATGAATTTAGCCGACTGCTTCTGAGCTTCTCTAGTTTCACCAACTTAAGAGAAGACCGCACCATAGCAATACACGTGCAAACCGCAACCAAAATGCCGCTCTATAGCCACACGAACAACTTCATCAGCAGTACATATAGGGTCTCAGCAGGTAGTACAAGCCATCAAACATCTGCTAGCTTTGCCTGGTTTCTTTGGCAGAGAGACCAAACACAACTCACCCACTCTCTTCCAGCAGTCATTTGTTTGTAGGGGAGCCTTGACGAGTTGAGTTTCCCTTTACGGCTCAAGATTAAGGTAACAATCCAAGATATTTGGTCGGTTCAAGATTTGATGATTAGCTGTGGACAATTCGATCTTCTTGGGAAAGATGTGAGTCATGCCCAAGATCATTGAGACAAAAACTGCCATAACCGAGGTATTTTTTCCTGTTTCATTAACACTCCATTGTGATCTTTGTGTTTGTTACAACATATATTTTGTTGCTATTTCTCCACTAAAATATAAAAACCTTTAAGTCTGTTTTAAAGAAAACTGTGCTCACCAGTTTTTAAAAAAAGGCATCTTCTCTGCTGACATGTAGTAAACTTCGCTCATGCATTTGAAAAATGTATTATTGAGGTTTTACAGTTCTGGCAGGAAGCGCTGCGCTGACTACATTTCATCATTTATTGTATCTCCGTGCACTGTAAAGGGATGAGGAGAAAAAACAAAGCCCAAAAGTTGAGCAATCTTCGACTCAACACTTTAATCTTGACTTTTTTGTTCTCGAGCATAAGAAGAAAAAAAAAACACAATACAAGCAGGCCGAGACATGAAGCGTGGCAATAACTACGCAAACAGAGTCACACACAAATAACCTGTTCGGTCTCTATGAAACTCCAATCATCCGGAGGTCATGTCAGGCAGCCTGCCAACAGGACCTGAGGGGAAGAGAAGAGTCATTTTGAGTCAATCCAGAGAGTGCTGACGGATCACAAACTCTTTGTCACAAATGATTCGAAGGTGCGGCGTGCAGACGGTTCTTGCATCCTATTTTATACTTCACAGATGTGTAGCAGAACCGAAAACGAAGGATTGTGTTTAAGGCCACATCAACATCGTGAGATTATCTTTAAGTTTAATCAGGTGGGACTAAACGCAGAGAAAATTTCATTACTTAGTAACCTGGATGAAGTTGAAAGTGGACAACGTGCTGACCTGAGTGGAAAAAGGAGCCAAACCTGCCAGATCAGCTGCAGGATCAGCTGAGGGATCATGGGAGCTGAGCAGGGAGGCAGTGCTCTGTGATCTTATTACTGCTCCAGGTTAGACTGCACCGTACTGAGTGTGTGACACTCACAAACACACACCACCTGAAGGGTTAATTCAGCGAGTTGTCGAGCTGGTTTAAGTGTACGACACACACGCGCGCACACACACGTCCTTAAAACTAATCCTTCACCGTACAACATGCTCTTGGCTGGCACACGCCGCACACACTCCCTTGGGTCATATGACCCAGAAGTACACAGACACGCTTGAGAGGGTCAAAAGTCATGTGGACCCGCGAGTGGAAATATATCTGATACGCTCAGAGCAGAGCAAGGAGAGTTCACAGAGTCAGAAGAAATCTTTCATAGACGTCGCACTAATGGTACGCCACGGGCAATCATAATCTTGTGTTAGATATCACCGCAACAGCGTGTGTTATGGTCATGTAGACATAGATTTGAGGGGGAACGAAATTACACTATGTGCTATGCAAGTTAACATGTACCCTACAGAGAATACTCAAGCTGTCAGAGGAGTTTAGCATGATCCCTCACACACACACACACACACACACACACACACACACAGCTGTTTTTCTTGGCTGAATGTGCCCTCCTGTAAAGGAGTTCATGTAATTGTGCCGCCTGACACCTGTTGAAACCCAGAGGACTTTGTCATGATGAGACATGCGTTCTCTGCAGGTGAACCACAACAACCAGCTGTAAGAGCTGCAGCAGGTGACACACACATGAATGCACACAAACACACACACACACTGCAAAATGAAAAATGCAAAATGAAAAATGTACACTTTCTTAATGAACTATTAATCATCATTCAGTTTAATCCTCCAGATTAAACAGGCTTCTGCATGTGTTCGCCACCATGTGCAGGCCAGACTACAAGCAAAGCTAAGCAGCTTTGAGTCTCGGCCGTTTCAACCGTATGATCAAAATACACGGATATGTCTGCAAACAAAGCCAGCGATTCAGCGGTGGGCTCGCGCTGCACCTCCACCCTGTCCCGCTCTCCGCTCGCCAAGCCTCAGATCCACCAGCAGCCCGGAGGAGTTGCACGTCTCACAAAGGGCCCCATTGTGCGCGCCGAGGTAACACCATAATTGTTACAATCTTCTCATTCAGGTGAAAAACACGCCCCACTTTTTGAATCCCTGTGACATTTTGAGAGCTTTGCGGCTTTCTGTATGTGCGGCACTGATCAGATATAATGAGGGGAAATGTGGGTGGCTTGCGCACCTGAGGTTGTGGCTTGCATCATCCTTTAAAAAAAAAAAAAAGAAACTTCTGTTTGTGTTTTTCGTACGAGCCAAGGCCCAGACCACAAAATCCACAGAGTTGGAGTGACAGATTTAATAACAACCTGATATTTCCAGGAGGTGAATCACTGATCTGTGATGACAGGAGAGTCCAGCAGAGAGGTTTAATAATTACTTTCTGCCATCCTGAAACCCCAAATGAGGAATAAGTTTTCCTTTTGGATGTTTCTGCAGGAAAATCCGCCAGTGGCTGAAGAGAGAAAACCTTTATTCTCTGAGAGTGTGTTTCTTATTCTTGGTTTTATTTATTTTTTCCACTCTCCCCAGAGACTGTTTTGAATCAAGGGGCTTTGTTTCTTTCGCTTCCCCACGTGCCTGACACATCCACTGGATATAAATCACAAATATGGTCCTGCTGCCTCTAGGAGCGGGCGCAGCGCGGATCGAGGAAGCAGTATGGAAGCCTGGGTGGTTCCAGCTGGTCCGCTTCCAAATCCTTAGTTGAGTCTAATGCAGGTCTGTTAGGAGCTTCCCTGCCTTTCATCCATTTAGGAAACATCTGGAATCATCTGCCGGTTGAATGAAAGCACGCATGTGTGTGTGGGTGTGTGTGTGTGTGTGTGTGTGTGTGTGTGTGTGTGTGTGTGTGTGTGTGTGTGTGTGTGTGTGTGTGTGTGTTTGTGTACGTCCTGCAGGAGGCTTGCCAGGAATGTTATCATTGTGTAAAAATGAACCGTGCTGCCCAGAAAATAAATTAAGGAAACTCACTGGTGGATCGCCAAAAAGATGTTTAGGCTTTGACATCATCTCCAGCGAGCAAATTCCTGCTGAACATCAACAAGGAGTTTACGAGCAGTCTCCTCCTTATTACTCATGGAGGGGCGGCGGACCACATGAAGGAACTCTGCCATATCAGCTACACTGAGAGAGACGATATACAGCCTTTATGTGCAATCGTGCCATTTCTACTCATCAAAGAAAAGACTGCAGACTGTTTGCAGGAGCTTGAATAGTGAAAAAAGAGCGACAAGTGTGTGTACAGTGTCTGTTAAAAAGAGTGGATATTGTATCCATGCTGGCAGGTGAGCAGACAAAAGCCTGTGGTGGCTCGGCGTGTCTCTCCCTGCCTGAGTCGAAACATCAGGGCTCCGGTGTGTTGACAGAAGAAGACAGAGGCAAGGTCAAGAGTCACACCTGTCGAGAAAACACGTCTTTTTGTGGGCCACGAGGCACTCTCACCTCAAAACCCCTGAGGGACAAAACCACCAGTCTGCACGCGAGTTTTTATGTCTAACACTACAAACATCAACGTAGGGGAAATTTGCTCCGTTTTAACTTTCAGGGTGATGCTTTTACAAAAATAAAGCAGGAGACAATCAGCTGACAGTAAAAGTCCCACTCCGATCATTTTTTTTACTACTTAAAGTCTTTTCAGTGGTCGTTAAATTTTGATGATGAAGTTTTTAGCCAAAATCAAGTTACCTGTGTCATTTTCAAGGACAAGGAGCAAGTGAAAGGATTTTAGACAGCATTTCATCCTGATTACACCATGGATGAGAAGATGCTGATTTTATAGGTCTAAAAGTAGATTTCCTCCTCTGGAAGGACAACATCTAGTGCTTATGGCTATCTTCTCAAGACAACATGTTATCAATGATTACACGTGAATCCACAGGTTCTCGTGAGTTCTTGCGATTACCGCTGTCTGTAATCTGCCAAGAAATTCGCTTCACAAATGGAGCCGGTAGCATTTGGCGGCCGGCAAAAATCGCGGCCATTCCAGATGTGGTGAAAATTGGGGGTTGGTTAATGGGCGGAGACAGCGCTGCTCTGTACATTTTGCATCTTTGCGTTAGCTTGCAACCTAGCATTGACGGTGTAGAAGAACAAACAGGTAGGAGCTATTTAGCTCTTATTGACATGATGAAAGCCAATATCATAATTAGCTTTCATACAAGCATTGCTATCTGCTAACACACCTAACGTACACGCTTGTTCCGCGATCATCCTCCCTATTTATTCGAGGCTAGCATGGCTCAGGGGGCGGAGCTTGGATTTGCTACATATGAAATCTCACTGTTTCTGAAACTGCTGTTTGGGTCTGCCAGAGATTCATAGCAAGTTCTCATTATATGTCCTGTAGCATCAACATGTAGACATGGAGAAAAACATGATTTTCATTGGAGTGGGTCATCAACCCCTCTCTTTTTCATCTTCACTGTGTTCATAAACCCCCTAGAAGATAACAGATGTCCCTCTCAATTATAACAGACCTGAATGTTTTCACCATGGACTTTAACATGCCGTGTCATTAGTAGCAGACTAGGTGTGTAGGGAAGAGGGCTGCTGTGTTTGGACCGGGGAGAGGATGTTCAGGTCTGGCTGTAACCACACCAGGGGATGTGGATTTTGGGAGTAATGGGGAGGATGTTTGGCCTCCTGTGTGGTGACTCCCTGACCTCCTCCATCCTCTCCCAACCTGCTTCACCTCTGTCCTATTGTAGCTCTTATCAAATGGCCAAATGTTGTACATACATTCAGGAGATAACAGGGGATCAGATGGGCCTGTCTCTCTGTGCTCATATTGTGTTTTGTGAGTCATCTGACCCCACATGCACTATATCTACCCCTCGAGCTTCCTCTGCTTCAGAGTTGTCCTCTTCCTACATCCATATATCCCTGTCTCCATCCTTGTTATGAACTGCTGCTCACGCTGCTCTCTAGTCAACTGCACCTTTGTTAGCTTTTTGGCTCACGTCCACTCTCATTTATGGGTGTTTTGTCAGCATTTCGTGACTCCCTCCCCGGCGCTAAGACAACACAGTGTCGTCCTCAGGGTGCACCGCGGGCCCCCGCGGATCACACTCCGCCAGCTCGCGCTCGTACCGCTTCTCATCTTCTCTAACACGCACTGACGTGGCCCTTTGAAGTCCTGGGGAGCAGCGTGAGCCCGGGACCGGCCCAACAAAAGCAACCTGATCCACGGATGATGTGTCCGAGCAAGCTTGCAGTCCCCCCGACAATGGACTTGGACAGCGGGGGCCCCCTTTGCAACTTCTGTGTGTACCTAAGCAAAGACCTGCATGTTGTTCATGGGGGACTGGACATGTGAGGGATCTGATGAGGGTTTGGTGGAACTGGTAGATGTTGCTGTTTTCAGCCCATTCCAACCCACGTATAGTGGAAAAACTGGCCTCTAGAATTATACAAGATTGTGTGAAAATTAAGGCTAACCAGCACCTTACCAGCATTTAACCTTTTGTTATGAAGCTTTCAAACTCTATTTGCGCCTCTTGATGACTCATTACTGTTTCAAACACGGGTTTTAGTCAAGACTATAGCAACTGTATCCCCGAAATCCCTGCACACACAAACGAAACATTAGGTATGAAAGAATGACCCTCAACAGCAGGTTATTTGCATCCAGAGAAAGATGAACTTCAGGTCGCAGGCCAGTCGTGCTGTTTGCTATCTCAACATTCCAGTCGGTCTTATGTGTGTATGCACCGTGTGTTTACAATTACTGATAAATATGCATTAGGCAAGTCAGAACAGCTCAAAACCTCGGGATGTCTCGTTCTGAACTCAAGGTCTCCTGTGCTGCTCTGTTTTTCAAGGATGGTAAGAGTGGATAGAGCTCAAGACGTCTTTGTGTGTATGGAACCATTTTTGCACAAGGACATATCATGCTAGCCTTGTCTGCTTGGCTTGTGTAGTCATAGGAATTGTCTGTTATAAGGGCTAGCCATGTGAACAGTGTATTGTTTTTATTAATGCCTTTTGTATCATATTTGATACACACTTTACTAAAAAAACAAACAAAAAAAAAAGACCTGAA